TCAGTAAAATTTCACAATATTTTAATACTTTTTTCTTCTACATTTCATGAAACAATTTTCATAAATAGGTGAACTACAAAAGTAGTTTTAAAGAACTTAGATTTTTGAAATTTTTAAATAATTCAAATTCTTCCAAAATTAGTTAAATTTTTTAACAAATTAATTATTATTTATTAAAAATAATGGATTTATAGAAGAATTTTAGTTAAAAAGCGTTACGTTCAATTTTCAATTATTTTCATAAAAAACAAAATTCTTTTTAGGATTACAATTATTTTCATAAATAATAAAACTCATCGCAGAATTTCAATTATTTTTAATATATACATAATTTTAATTGAATTCCTTGAAAATTGATATTTTTCTTATAAATTTTTTTTTTAAATTCGTCAAAACAATTCAATTATTTAAAAATTTATTGATAAATGTCAGGGAATTCAGAAAAAAAGACTAAAAAATTGAATTTTTGAGAAGTTGCAAATGATTGTAGAAATTTAATTATTCTCAAAAGTAATAAAATTCTACGCAGAAAGTCTATATTATGTTCAAAAATTTTTTTTATTTATTCTCAAGATTTCAATTATTTTAATAAATAATAAAATTCTAGTAAGAAATTTAATTGTCATTATAAATAATAAAATTCTCGTCAAAATTTCAATGATTTTCAAAAATTTTAATAAAATTCTGTGCAGACATTTAATTATTTTAATAAATAATAAAAATTTCACAGATATTCAATTATTTACAAACTCAATGCAGAATTTCAATTATTTTTAATACAATTTTAATCGAATTTCGCGGAAAATGTAATTATTCTTAAAAATTTTATTAAAAATCGTCGAAAGAATTCAATTATTTAAAAATTTGTTGATGAAATTCTTTATGATAATTCAATATTAAGAAGAATTCAATATAATATAATATAAATTATTTATTTTTGTATGTAAATAATTTAATTCTCGTAGAATTTTCTAATAGAAATTGATGTAAGTGAATTTCAGCTAAAATTTAACATAATAATTGAGTAATAAAACCATTGTATTGTGAATTTTTAGAAATAATTGAATTTTGAAAAAGTTCCAAATTGAAATCTTTGAAAATTTGAATTTTTCATACTTTTAACTGACAATTCTGTAGAATTAATTTTTTTTGAAAAAGTTTAATTGAATATTTTTTAAATTATTTGAAGTTTGTATTTTCTAATTATTTATTTGAAGAATTACCGAATAATAGAAATTTCGTAAAATTGAATTGTAAACAACTAGATTAGAAAATTCTCAAAGAACGTTTAAAAAAATTGTTAAAAATAATTGATTTAGATAAAGAAGAATTTTAGTTAAAACTTATAGAAAATAATAATTAAATTGAAATGATGAAAATAATTTTACAGAAGTTATAGTAACAATTATATTCGAGTAATATAAAAAAATGAAAATCTTAATTCCTATGAAATAATAATAATGATTAAATATTTATTTCTGCTTTTCTTTATGAAAACTATTTCCACCTGAATCTCATTCCAGAGCAAAAGAACTAAGAAGCTTAAAAGCTAAGAGCTTGAGAAAAAAAAACAAATCTCACTCATTTCTAGTCTGATCTGATAAAATCCCTCCAAGTGTCAATTTCCATTCGCAAAAGAAAAAAACAAAATCGGAGTGAAAAAAGTTAAACAAGATGAAAAAGTTGTTTGTTGAAAAATCGAGCACGTGTTCCGGGGGGCAAAAATAGACATGACTTGCAAAAGAAGATACGTTAACAGCTCCACCAATCCGTGCAGACTGATGCGATTTACCGGTTGTACAAGAGAAAAAAAAGAAACAAAAAAGAAAGAAAAGAAACACAAGTGAAGAAAAGAAGAAAAGAGTTGCTCGGATTGGTTCGTTCGCTTGGCAGAACGGAAGGCCAATGTCCGAGAGGAAAACTTCAACTCCACAATTCTCTAACAATTTGTATCAAAAAAAAAAAAAAAAAAAAAAAATACCATACCAGAGAAATTTTCTGCTCGAGAAATCTTGAGCGTGAAGAAAAATTATTGACAACTATTTCAGAAAATCAAAACAAGAAAATTGCGTACACTTTGAGAATTTAAAAGAAATACAAAAAAATGAATTCAACTATTCACTTAGTTCTCATTTTCATCTTGCAAAAATTTTTTTTCTATTTTTAAAAAAATTATTCCCGACTGGAATTAATTAGAGAGAAAAAAATCTCCCATTATGAGATTCAATAGACGATTCTATATATACATAATTATATTAGATACGGATTTCACTCGATATTATCTAAAGGCTTAGAAAAAAAAATCGAAGGAATTTTCATTAACTACAGATGCAGCTGTAAACTCTCGCCTCGTGAAGATTCTTATCGGATGTATATACATGTAATAAGCGGAAGACGAGTCTCCGACAATGCACCACTATTTCCATCGCACTTTACTTCCCTCTTATATTTATATACATATGCATTTGGTTCAAATTACGCCGGGTACATTGTGCTAACAATCATCTTATTAAATTTCAACATTTCTCATCAATATTCTATATATTATAAAAAACAAAAGACGAGCCGAGAGTTTAGATAATATTTTTTCTATGGCCGAAGAAAAATTTGCTTATTGTTTAAAATATTGTGCCTCATTAGAGAAAAATTATACCAACATGGAGATAAATAAGAGAGAAAATATTTTCATTCCTTTAAATTTCTTTAATAAAAATATTAATATCTCTTGTTTAATTTTTTCTGTGTCTAATAGTAAATATTTAATTTACAATTTATTTACTTTAATATTTGAATATAAATAAATTATTAATTACCATTATTCATTAATTATTATTATTATTAGTTAACTTTAATATTAGATAATATTAATCACTTAACTCGGTGTGATCGTTCTCCTCAATGTTTTTAATTATTAATATTACATAATAATAATAATAATAATAATAATAATAATAATAATAATAATAAAATTAATTATAAATTATTTAGATAATTAACACTTTGCGTGATTCAGAATTTGATATTTATATTTACATTTTATTCTTACAGTTCTCGGATCGACTTTAAAACACAAAAAAGTCGCTTTAGTCGATTAAAAATACAAAAAAAGTCGTTTATTGAATTTAGTGTTCCAACAAAAATATTTTTTAAAAAATATAATAAAGAAACCCTTTAAATTAATTTTTTTAAATATATTTAAATAATTTTTTAAAGATAATAGTCTTTCAATTATATATATACAATTAAAAAATTTTCAAACAATTGAATTTTGATAAAATCTTTTAAAAATAATTGAAATTCGATAAAATCTTTTTAAAACAATTGATGATTTTAGTAAAATCCTCTAAAAATAATCAAAAAAAATTCTTGTCCTAATTTCAATTATTTTCAAAAATTTTTTTAATTTCAATTATTTTCAATATCTACTATTTTAATAAAATTTCCCATAAAGAATTCAATGATTTAAAAAAAATGTTAATAAAATTCTATGCAAACATTTAATTATTTTCATAAATAATAAAAATTTCACAGGAATTCAATTATGTTTATCAATAATAAAATTTTTTTAACGAATTCAATTATTATTTTCATAAAAAATAATTTAAAATTCTAGAAAATAATAATTGAATTAAAATGATGAAAATAATTTTAATGAAGTTACAGTAACAATATTCTTAAGATATAAAATAATGATCAAGAAGTAAATTTAAAAAAAAATTTAATTTACTTTAATCGAAGATAAGTATATATCTTAAAAAATTATGATAAAACAATTCTAAGAATTAGTTTTCTAAAAATATTCTAATGTAATTTTTCGAAAATAATTGAATTTCTTAAAAGAATTTTTGTATATAATTTTAAAACAAACTAAGTAATTTTTTGAAGAATTTTAATTAAAAATGTTCACAATGATTGTATTCTTCAAAATGTTAAAAGTAATTCTGAAAAATTTTAAGGTTTGCATTTCGAAAATTTAATTAGAAAAATTGTTCATTTATTAATTATTTATTTGATTATAATTATTTATAATTATTAATGAATAAATTAAGAAATTATTATTCTTAAATAAATCAATAAATTAATAAATTAATAAATTATCATTTTCAATTAAATAAATAAATTATGATTATTAAATAAAAAAAATTAACCATTTTTTCCATTCACGACATTGAAAGAGAATTATATAATTACTATTTGAATGATTTATCAAAAAATATAATTTATAGAATAATAACAGTTTATCAACATAATTGCGCAATAAATTTCTCGCATTGCGCAAAATTCTCTAAAGTGGCAAAGGAGAAAAAATGCTACAAAAAAAATTCAAGGCGCGTTAAAATTTTGCAGGATCGATTGTCTATATTAATTATAAATTTTACGTAATTTCCATTTACCACTAAACAAAAAAATAAAAAAAATTCAAAAAAATTATTAAAAAAAAGATTATTAAATAAAAAAATTAATCAAATGTATTTTTACTTTAAACACTCTTTGAAAACGAAGAATAAATAATGAAAAATAAAATCCCTAAATTTAGCGTCAACGCTGAGTGTCAAAAAAAATTTTTTTATGAACTCGAAAAAAATTGTTTTCTTTTTTTGGGTTCGTAAAAAAATTCGTTTTAGATTAAAAAATACTCAGAAAATGTTTTTAAATCTCTTGGTGAATAAAAAGATGAATTTAGTAACATTTTCGTCTCTAAAAGCCTCAATTAATAGTTTTCGACGCTGAGTGACTCATCGACTCTAGTTGCAACGCTAATTTCAGAGACATAAATAAAAAATACTAAATAAATAATAATCAGCGTCTTTGTTATCAGACAAAGGTCAAATTATCTAACTTACTTTTATTTAAATTTAACTTATCTAAATTTATTTTTTAGTAAAGAGGACAAAATTAAAGAAAAAAAATGCAACAAAACGAAAAGAATGACGTCATATTGCAAAAAAAAAAAAAACGATGCGCAATATTCAAACAAATTTTCCTTCATATTAAATATAATCAGTCGCACTACGTATCACACAGTTAGTATAAAGCGAGATATCAAAGCAAAACGTTCACGCAATCAAGAAAAAAAAATGAACTCGCTATATTTGCTATTATTTTCCCTCGCAATCGGCACAATTGGAATTTTAATTTATCTCTATTATCAATTAAATTTTTGGTCAAGAAAAAATGTCCCCCAAACGTCAATATTTCTAACAGTGCAAAATCTATGGCAAGTGTTTGGTCAACAAAAATCCCTACCGGAAATCCATCAAAATATTTACAATCTATTTTCAAATACAAAATATTTCGGTACAATGAATCTATTAACACCGGCAATAACAATTTGCGATCCAGAATTAATAAAAGACGTTCTAGTGAAGAATTTCGATCATTTCACCGATCATCAAAGTTTCATTGACGAGAAAATAGATCCTATTTTCGGCAGGAATATCGTCTCACTAAAAGGCGAACGATGGCGTGAAATGAGAAATACCCTAAGTCCCTCGTTTACAGCATCAAAAATGAAATTTATGTTCAACCTAGTGTCAAAGTGTGCTCAAACATTTGTCGATTATTTCAAAAATCATTCCGACGAGGCCGAATTAATTGAGGGTAAGGAGATATTCACCAAATATACGAACGATGTAATTGCGAGTGTTGCTTTTGGTATAAATGTCGATTCATTGGAAAATAAGAATAACGATTTCTACACAAGAGGAAGGGACGCAACAAAACTCTCCTTCTTTCGTATAATTAAAATGTTTCTCTTTCTATTCTTTCCCAAACTAATGAAACTAATGGGACAAAAATTATTAACCCGTGAGACAGATAAATTTTTTCGAACTGTCATCAATGATACACTACGTGTAAGAGAGGAGAAAAAAATTATCCGACCAGATATGATTCATTTATTAATGGAGGCAAGAGATAAGGAGAATGGAATTGAATTATCCATCGATGACATTATTGCACAAGCGTTTATATTTTTTTTCGCCGGTTTCGAGACATCGTCGACCTTTATGTGCTTTCTCGCTTATGAACTTGCAGTCAATGAGGAAATACAGGAGAGATTACGTCACGAAATTGACACTTTAAGTGAAGAAGAAATTTCCTACGATTCAATTAATAAAATGATTTACTTAGATATGGTGATATCGGAGGCATTGAGAAAATATCCACCAGCAGTAATCACAGACAGAATTTGCGTGGAAAAATATCCCCTACCTGGAGCAACAGAGAAGCATGATGAATTCACCATTGAACCTAAAACACAAATTATAATTCCAATCTACGCTCTACAAAATGATCCGAAATATTTTTCAGAACCGGAAAAATTTGATCCGGAAAGATTTAGTGAGAAAAATAAGGATATGATTAATCCCTATACGTATTTACCGTTTGGTAGTGGACCGAGAAAATGCATTGGCAATCGTTTCGCTTTGATGGAAATTAAAATTCTCTTTGTGTATATTTTGAAAAATTTCGTTATCGAAAAAAGTGAGAAAACAAAGGAACCCATGGAATTCGATAATAAGTTTCAAATGGCTATTAAAGGTGGATGCTGGATCAAATTAAGAGAGAGGGTATCATTCTATTGAGACTGACAAAAGACTGAATTTTTTTTCTTTTTATAATTTTTGCTAAAAATATTGTTACCAAAAATACTGATGATACAATAAAAATTGTTATCAAAAAATATTTCTTTCACTGGGTTGACATGAAAATTCGATTTTTACTTTCCCTGACTTTGCCCTAATTTCCAGACAGAATTCAAAATTTTTCCCTGATCTCTATAAATTTTTTTCAAGTATTCAATTTTAAATTTAATTATAACAAAAATTTTTAGAAGCAAAAAATTAATTTTAAAACAATAGAGATGTATTGCTATGTTTAAAATGAATTTAATTTTGTGTATCGAACTTCTCTCGATTATTTTCTACAGAATTCTAGAGCATTTCCATCATTTCTAAAAAATTTAAATTACTAATTATTACAATTATATTATTATTACATTATTACAATTATTTTGAAAATAGAACTGAAATAAAAAAAAATTAATGAGTCGAAAAGTTCTCGAATATATTTTAGAATTTCAATAAAATTCTTTAAAACATTCAATTATTTTCTATAGAATTTTAGATTAAATTTCAGTTATTTAACAAATTTTCAATTGTCTTCAGGACAAAGAACAATAATTTTAATTAATGTTAAGAACATTAAATAATTTTTAAAAATTAATTAATGTTCTTAACATTAATTAAAATTAATGTTTTGAACTTTCCTCGATTTTTTTCAATAATTTCAATGAAATTTTAAAAATTCAATAACTTTTAATAGAATATTAATTGAATTTAATTGAATTTAAAATTAATTTAACTGAATTTAAAATTTCTATAATTTCAAAAAATTTCAATTAATTGTTTATAAAAATTCAATTATCATTAAAAAGTAAAATTGAAGAATTTCAAAAACTAACGTAACAAACAACCCTCTATTATTTTCAAGAATTTCAATAAAATTCATTAAAAATTAAAATATTTTCTTAAAGATTTTAAGAACTTTTAATTATTTAAAAACTTTTCAACTATTAAAAAATATAAAACAGAATATATTTTTAAAAATCAATGTATCAAACTTCCCTTGATTATATTCAATAACCTCAATAAAACTATTTAAAAAATTCAATTTTTTTTATATAATTTTTCGAAAATTACAATCAATCAAAAAAAATTTCAATTATTTGTTCAGAAAAATTTAATTATTTTTTAAAAATAGAACTAAAATATTTACGAAAACAAAAAAAAAAAAACCTTTCCAAAAATAAAATTTCAATTATCATTGAAAAATAAAACTGAAAAATTTCAAAAACTAATGTAACAAACTATTATTTTCCAGAATTTGAATAAAATTCCTTAAAAATTCAATTATTTTCTTTGGAATTTTAGAAAAATTCAATTATTTAAAAAATTTTCAATTATTTTTTTTTTAAAATAAAACAGAAATATTTTTAAAAATGAATATGTCAAATTTCCTGTGATTATTTTAAATAATTTCAATAAAACTCTAACTCTTGTAAAAATTTTTATTATTTTTAATATAGGAAAATAAATTAAAAAATTCTTAAATGAATTGAAATTTGTGAAATCTAATTGAAAATAATTAAATTTTAAAAATAATTTTAGTAGAGATTATTTATGAAACTGAAGTTACCAACGTTGATTCAACGAAAAACTTAAAAAAAAATTTTCTCAGGATACAAATTTTCCTTGTATATTTTTAACCCAAGTAAACCCTCTAAACCCTAAAATAAAAAAAACGTGGGAAAAGCAGTGATTTTTATTCTATTTTTTTAATTTTTTCCAAAAATCACGAAATTTTAAATAAATTCATAAATCCTCGCCTCGGTAGTCATTTTTTTCTTTTGATAATTGTTTATTTTAATATTAGACGCTATTTAAAAAAAAATTTTATACGTTTCCAAATCGGGGAAAACAGTAATTTTGGTTTTTTTTGTCACGGATTTTTGGAAAATCCGAGCGTTTCAAGTAATTTAATAATTCCTCGCCTCGGTAGTTACTTTTTTCTTTTGATAATTGTTTATTTTATTATTACACATTATTTAAAAAAAATTTTAAGTAATTCCAAGTCGGGGAAAGCAGTGATTTTGAATTTTTTTGTGTCACGAATTTTCCAAAAATTCCGAAATTTCATTTAAATTCATAATTCCTCGCCTCGGTAGTCATTTTTTTCTTATAATAATTGTTTATTTTAACATTAGACGTTATTTTAAAAAAATTTCAAGTGATTCCAAGTCGGGGAAAGTAGTGATTTTTATTTTTTTTATCGAATTTTTTTCAAAAATAACGAAATTTTAATTAAATTAATAGTTCCTCGACCCGGTAGTCATTTTTTTCTTTTGATAATTGTTTATTTTAATATTAGACGCAATTTAAAAAAAATTTTGTACGTTTCCTTATCGGGGAAAACAGTAATTTTGGTTTTTTTGTCACGGATTTTTGGAAAATCCGGAAATTTTAAGTAATTTAATAATTTCCCCGCCTCGGTAGTTAATTTTTTCTTTTGATAATTGTTTATGTTAATATTACACGTTATTTAAGAAAAATTTTAAGTAATTCCAAGTCGGGGAAAGCAGTGATTTTGGATTTTTTTGTGTCACGAACTTTCCAAAAATTCCGAAATTTCATTTAAATTCATAATTTCTCGCCTCGGTAGTCACTTTTTTCTTTTGATAATTGTTTATTTTGACATTAGACGTTATTTTAAAAAAATTTCAAGTGATTCCAAGTCGGGGAAAGCAGTGATATTTATTTTTTTTGTCGAATTTTTTCCAAAAATCCTGGAATTTCAATAAAAAATTCAAAATCACTGCTTTCCCCGACTTGGAACTACTTGGAATTTTTTTTAAATGGCACACGACATTAGAATAAACAATTATCAAAAGAAAAAAATGACTACCGAGGCGAGGAATTATGAATTTAATTAAAATTTCGTGATTTTTGGAAAAAATTTGCCAAAAAAAAATAAAAATCACTACTTTCCCCGACTTGGAATAACTTGAAGTTTTTTTAAAATAACGTCTAATGGCAAAATAAACAATTATCAAAAGAAAAAAATGACTACCGAAGCGAGGAATCATTGATTAATTTGCAATTTCGAGATTTTTGGAAAATTCGTGACACAAAAAAATTCAAAATCACTGCTTTCCCCGACTTGGAATCACTTGAAATTTCTTTTAAATAACGTCTAATATTAAAATAAACAATTATCAAAAGAAAAAAGTAACTACCGAGGCGAGGAATTATTAAATTACTTGAAACGCTCGGATTTTCCAAAAATCCGTGACAAAAAAACCAAAATCACTGCTTTCCCCGACTTGGAACTACTTGGAATTTTTTTTAAATGGCACTCGACATTAGAATAAACAATTATCAAAAGAAAAAAATGACTACCGAGGCGAGGAATTAAGAATTTAATTAAAATTTCGTGATTTTTGGAAAAAATTTGCCAAAAAAAAATAAAAATCACTTTTTTACCCACGTTTTTTTTATTTTAGGGTTTGGAGAGTTTACTTGGGTTAAAAATATACAAGAAAAATTTATATCCTTAGAAAATTTTTATTTAAGTTTTTCGTTGAATCAACGTTGATAACTTCAGATTCATGATTATTTTTAAAAAATGAATTTTCAAAGAATTTTTGTTTAATAATTGATAAATAATATAATTTTACTAAATCACAATCAAATGTATACATATTTTTATTAGTGTAAAAAGCAGCATTAAATAGTCCAAATTGCATTTAAAATAAGTAAATTTCGAAAGAGTTGCAATAAAATTTTTTTTTTAATTAGTTAATTTCAAGAAGACTTAAATCTGAAATTTTGTTTAAAAAATGAAGTTTTAAATTTAATAAAACTGAAATTTTCTAAAATTCTAAGAATTTAACTTTCAAAAATAAATTATTGTATTAATATTTGTCAGAAATATAATTTTTTCAAAATTTTAAATGATATTAAATTTTTTATTTAAGTAATTCTTTAAATAAATATTTAATTATTATTATCTTCTTCATAAAAATTGAAATTAAAAACAAATTTTTATTTAAAACCTTCTGAAATTTAATTATTTCTAAAAATTGCATTTGTTTTTAACTAAAATCTTTTCAAAGTTAATTATTATAATTGATAACATTAAATAATTCATTTCCAGAATTTAATTGTTTAAAATGAATTTAATTATTTGCAGAAAGAAGAAAAAAAATCAATGTATTGTTTTAAAATTCATCGTGATTATGAAAAGTTTTTAAGATGGAAAAAAATTCAGAGTATTCAAGATTCTTGAATACTTAATAAATATTTTTCAAAAATATTTTTGGCCAAATTTTTCTTTCTAGTAATTTTTAATTTTTTTGATTTTTTCTAATTCTAGAAATTTGATATTTTTGAAAAAATTCCCAGACATTTCCCTAATTTCCCTGACCTGTGGCAACATAAATTTGGAAAATTCATTTTTACTCGGAATATTATTAATTATTAGTGACTAATAATATTCCGAATAAAAATAAATTTCCCAAATTCGAGATAGAACTGTTTTTATCATCAATGTACTAAATAGCAATCAGGAATGAAATGAGAGAATACCGAAAGAACTGAAAATAAGAGTGAAAACAATAAAAATTGTCGAGTAACAACAATGTTTTGCTTTTTCCTCTCTACCTCCCCCTCTCTCTTTATGAAACGATGTAGAAATTTACACGACTATAAATACATTATCTACCGTCCTTTAAACGTGCCTCGCCTTTAAATTCTTCATAAATTCCTTAGGTAATGCTTCCCGGCTGGTCAAGATCATAATAATAAATAACAGGTTAGTCTCATTAGTTTGTGGACTTTAAATCGCCATGTTTGTTTTTTTTCTGTCCCTCCAACTCTTCTTCTTCTTCAAAGAAACTGGTTCTATTCTATTATTACATTCGACTATTGTAGACAATCAATCGCTTTCAATTTGTCATTTTTCAAAATTGATTGTATTTCATTTTCTAAAGTGAATTCAATTTCACGTTGAAGTCAATTTCTACGTTGAAGTCAATTCTACACTGAAGTCATTTCTACATTGAAGTCAGTTCTACATTTAATTCAATTCTAAATGTAATTCAATTCTAAATGGAATTTAATTCTAAA